AGGTATAATGTGATATGTTGAGAGTATGTTGGTATAATGTGATATGGAAAGAGTATGTAGGTATAATGTGATATGTACAGAGTATGTAGGTATAAGGTGATATGTAGAGAGTGTGTTGGTATAATGTGATATGTAGAGAGCATGTTGGTATAATGTGATATGTAGAGAGGATGTTGGGATAATGTGATATGTAGAGAGTATGTGGTATAATGTGATATGTAGAGAGTATGTGGTATAATGTGATATGTAGAGAGTGTGTTGGCATAATGTGATATGTAAAGAGTATGTAGGTATAATGTGATATGTTGAGAGTATGTTGGTATAATGTGATATGAAGAGAGTATGTAGGCATAATGTGATATGTACAGAGTATGTAGGTATAATGTGATATGTACAGAGTACGTAGGTATAATGTGATATGTAGAGAGCATTTAGGTATAATGTGATACGTAGAGAGTATGTAGGTATAATGTGATGTGTAGAGAGTATGTTGGTATAATGTGAAATGTTGAGAGTATGTAGGTATAATGTGATATGTTGAGAGTATGCTGTATAATATATGTAGAGAGTATGTTGGCATAATGTGATATGTTGAGAGTATGTTGGTATAATGTGATATGGAAAGAGTATGTAGGTATAATGTGATATGTAGACAGTATGTAGGTATAATGTGATATGTTGAGAGTATGTTGGTATAATGTGATATGGAAAGAGTATGTAGGTATAATGTGATATGTTGAGAGTATGCTGTATAATATATGTAGAGAGTATGTTGGCATAATGTGATATGTAGAGAGTATGTTGATCTAGTGTGATATGTAGAGAGTATGTTGGTATCATGTGATATGTAGAGAGTATGTTGGTGTAATGTGATATGTAGAGAGTATGTTCGTATAATGTGATATGTAGAGAGTATTTTGGTATAATGTGATATGTAGAGAGGATGTTGGGATAATGTGATATGTAGAGAGTATGTAAGTATAATGTGATATGTAGGGAGTATGTAGGTATAATGTGATATGTACAGAGTATGTAGGTATAAGGTGATATGTAGAGAGTGTGTTGGTATAATGTGATATGTAAAGAGTATGTAGGTATAATGTGATATGTTGAGAGTATGCTGTATAATATATGTAGAGAGTATGTTGGCATAATGTGATATGTAGAGAGTATGTTGTTATAATGTGATATGTAGAGAGCATTTAGGTATAATGTGATACGTAGAGAGTACGTAGGTATAATGTGATATGTAGAGAAAGTATGTAGGCATAATGTGATATGTACAGAGTATGTAGGTATAAGGTGATATGTAGAGAGTGTGTTGGTATAATGTGATATGTAGAGAGTAAGTAGGTATAATGTGATATGTAGAGAAAGTATGTAGGCATAATTTGATATGTAGAGAGTATGTAGGTATAATATGATATATAGAGAGTATGTTGGTATAATGTGATATGAAGAGAGTATGTTGGTATAATGTGATATGTAGAGAGTATGTAGGTATAATATGATATGTTGAGAGTATGTAGGTATAATGTGATATGTTGAGAGTATGCTGTATAATGTTTTGTGTCTAATTTTGATAATGTATCTACTTGTTACCTAGACAACAAGCCGGCAATAATGTATCCCCTGCGTCTTTAAAACGGTACTAAACCTGTGATTTGGCGCTCGGTTTCAAATTGTCAGTTTACCTGTGGATGTGCACACAAAGCCTGATATCGACACTTAGCTTCAGTATTGCAACAATCCGTGACACCTTTAGGAAGTAGGCACTTTAAATAGTAAATAGTTAATAAGTGTTTTGTTTAACAGATAGGGCAGCCGATCGTACGGATTCGTCTTCTGTTTTTTTTCTTTTACAATGTATGTACATTGGGATTGTGGGAGAGATCTGCTGTATTAAGCGTATCTAAGGTTTCTACCGGTAATCGAACGTCGGTCAACTGCACTGAAGGTCAAGGATGTTATTACATGGAAGAACTTAAATAATGCTCACTTATAAAAAAAGGCCTCCAAATATGTTAAAATAACGAGTGAGATTTGTATCCGGGGTATTAACTTTCAATCATTATCTGAAGGTCATGACTTTACGCTGGGAAGGACTTAAAACACGTCGCGGTATAAAAGTAAAAACATTGAAATTAAATGTTACATACGAAAGTTGAGAAGTTCAAATACAGGATGTTACATCGGTAAATCGTCGAAATGTGGCAGTGGATTGTTTTTATTACGAAAGCCTTTATAGATAAACGACAAACACCCACAGGATGTGTTTAAGAATCTCTATCAAGGCTGTTCATGTGAAAACTAAAACCTTTAATTTCACATCGTGTAGAATTGTATCCATTGCATATGGGATACATTAATACCCCCTCACTGATGTATAGGCTGACTGTCTAAAGTGTTTTCAGATACCTCAAGTTACAAGTTCTAAATTTAAATTACCTATATTAAACGTAGCATCGCAGAGATCTGTAGTGTATATTTACAGTATACGTCATTTGCCTTGTGTTGTACATACGTTTGCAATTTAAATATCAATATTGATATAAGTTGATGTAATTTAAACAAGGAGTCACTAGGGGAATATTCAATGTTGCAGGCAAATTTAAATTTATAACAAATATCACTTGATATCTATAAGTTGATGGATATAATCACGCAACCTTCATGGGTCAAGGACGTTTATGCATATAAACTATATAGTATATGTTGTCATAGCATGCCTTTATTTATTCTATACATAACGAATTCAAATGTAACATATTTGACCATAGTGACCTTGAAGTTGGGTTAATGTCATTCATTTTCTCTCAGATTTGAAAGTACGTTATCCCAGCATGCAACCGGACATACAACATGACCTGTGAGAAATAACATGTTTTTTTTAAGATTTTAGCATATTTGTACCGAGTGACACTGAAGTGGCTAAAGGTCATTCATTTGCACAGACTTGATAGTCCTTCAACCCAGTCTGCTACAGGGAAAATATTATGGTCGTAGACATTTAGTTATTTACATGTATGTTGCTTAGGGGGAAGTGAACTATAAGAATTCAATAAGCTTTCTATTGTTCACTTTGTGGCGTAATTCTGTCGAATCCCCACCTAAGGATGTAAATTGACAGTAAACATCATTTTCATAGTTTGTGTCATGATGTCATTATAATAAATTGTCATCTTATGATGACCGTATTCAATTCTATACATGTGTTGAGTTTTATGTGGAGTAGGCATAAATGTCATTATACATTCACCTCTTTGGCCTTAACAGAGGACACCAAGGTCAATAATTTACACCATCTTGATAGGCCATACCAAAACATGCTACAAAAGTGCTGACCTGATATCGAAAAGAGGTTGTTTAATTAATGGCTAGTTTGGTAGGTTTGTCACAAAATCCTTTATAATAATGAAGTTCATTACTCCCGTTAAAGAACTAATGTCGAGATATTGACAAGGGTCAGGTTTTTATTGCAACTTTCTTTATGGTTATGATATCATTTATCGTATTTCTATACGTTTTAGTGGCAGCTGTTGACTCACTCTAAATTTCCTGAATATGCGCAAATATTTAAACTAATTATTCTATTTATTTATTTATTCAAAGAACAAGATATTCAATATTTACGCATTGACCTCTAATTTCCTTTGAATAGTCTCTGCCTAACAATTTCTCATTGAACATACAATGTAGCTATATTATTTACCGACTTGTTTTGAAAAAAACAACAACATTTAACGCATTTTTTAAAAATAGGCTATAGCTTAGTGTTGTGTGTGTTGCACATTAAGATAAAAAGTTGCTTACCTAATCATGTATACATAGGTTTGTATTGTATAAAATTACATCTATACTCTTCTACATAAAATATTGTAAAAAATGAAACAATTACAAAACATTTATCGCAGGCCAAATATCTTCCATGTTGTTTCCTTATTTGTTCGTATTTTGCAAAATGAAATCCATGTCCCTTTCTTGTTTAGTAGCAACATAGACGGTAGTAGCAATTAAATGAAAATGCCCTGAAGATACTTGTCATTATCAGTTGTTTCTATAGCTTAGCGGTGTTTAACGCAGACATTCTACTGTTGGGCCATTGTAACCGTAACACGATCACAAATGACTTCCAAGTGTATATGTATTTGAAAATTATTTCAACTTTACTTTTGAGAGCACTAGGCGTGTTTTAAGCAAGCGGATTCCTAAAAACGTATTTAATTACGTAATGGTGCATTAAGGTTAACGTTTATAGCAAGTTCTCTTTCACACTATAGTCGATTTTATCTTTCCAGGAGCTTTTGGCGAGTCTTGTCTAAGACCTTCCAGCTAAATATGTCTCAATAATTCTTAACCCGTTTATATAATTATCTGACCACTCAATGAAAACATGTGACCGTCTGCTTTGTGACCGTCTAGATACCTTGTAGGTAATACTGCCTAGCCGGTGGTCACTAAACCTAGCCGGTGGTCACTAAACCTAGCCGGTGGTCACTGACCTATTAAAAAAGGGTTTACATACATACGTAACAATATATTTCAAGTAGCATTCTCAGAGTATTGGAGTGCTCTGCATTGTAAGAACGTATCACAGTGTCCCTAATACACATTAAGTCTTAAGATCAGAAGACACCATCCTTATGTGATAGACTGCGTCAATTCTGCGATAGTTCTATGGAATCTGAAGATTATTTTTCTTTGTATAATAAATAGTTTTATAAAATACAGTATGTTCTAAACGTTTACATTGTTATGGTGAACATAACAATTGTATTGTAAAATTGAAAACAAATATCTTGCCATATGCATGTACAGACATATATACTGTGTAAATTGATTATTTCATTTAAAGCGGTAGTACAAATGTAAGACTGGACAATTGATGACGTCACACTGGATATTGTGCGACAGGTCCCAGACAGCTTAATGTTGACACTGACTGTTATTTATGTAACTAGAGCGAAACGGCGGTCATCGGACAATTCTCATTTGTCATTGACCTTTCCAGGTATTGTCCGGTACGACCGGTCGACATTTTAAGGCACTACTGGTCAGTTCGTCTGTGTGATGGTGATCTACGATTGCACTGATTTGTCCGTGTGATAGTTTTCTGTTAACAAGTGTAAACTGTAAGGTAACTTACTACAGCCCGTGTGCATTCTTTAACGGCACCAGTGTATACTCGTGTTCCTTAAAGGTGTCTAGACACACCTGTCTACACACACCATCGATCCTGTTAAAAACATTCAATATATATGTGTGTGGACCCCTACCGGGAAGTCGAGACTTTTAACTTTGGAGTGATTACCTTGATACGAATAATTATGTTACATAGCAAAGAAGGTAGGTACACCGCACAGTTTGTACGTCTCTGATGCACTGTACTACATGTGCCTATTACATACATATATATCTCACTTTATATATACATACCAGACTCGAGCTCGTTCCTGACTTGGTTTTATATAAAAGACATAGATTTATCATATGTCCAGATACTTCGGGCCTGAATCCTGGTCTGGCGAGGTGAGATTGTCACGTTCTGGTCATTACAAGTAATCGTATTGACTTGGAATATGGTGTTATAATTAGCTAAAAGCTTATAATTACAGATTAATTATTTAAGCATGCTACTACCGTCAGTCTACTATTTTCAGTAAGAGGTATAACGTACTGACCAGCAGTGGGTATACATGTCCTACTGGACAATGTTTACTGACCAGCAGTGTGTATACATGTCCTACTGGACAATGTTTACTGACCAGCAGTGGGTATACATGTCCTACTGGACAATGTTTACCGACGTGCTTGACCTTAAATCAAAGCATGTCATCAATTGATTCACGGACAAACATGCCACTGACGGTTTTACTGTCATACTAGTGTCAACCAAAGATAACGGTTTGCTATTCATCAGAAATTATTATAATATGAGACGATTTTTATAATTTATCGGTAAATATCGGAAGATATTTGCTGATAATGGAAGAATTTTATTTGACGATTTTTTTATTTATCATTTATCCTGCCCCTTTAATGCACAGCGGTTTAATGTCGTCAAACTTAGTCTCTGGCATGGCTTCTATGTTGGACCCGAGGATCGGGGCTCTTAGGGGTCACATTGGCTAACATTTCACAATCTTAATTCCTGTCGACTAACCCAGAAATCTTCTACACATACATAGTCAAATACACTTTATGAGTGAAAATTGCTTTATCAAATCGGAAGTTTCTAATTTCGTTACTTCTGGATCATTTGTTCTCCCCTGGAGAGGGGCGTGGTGTTTTACCATTGTTGATACGGTAGTTAGATGTGGGTGGTTTTACTTGTATATAGTAAACATTTTATTAGTGCGTGTGTACTTTCGTGTGTTCCTTCGACGTAAAAAGCTTTTGTAAAGATATCTTATGCTCATATCCTCTTAAGAGATTTAGTAACACTGTGGTAACACAGAGTTCCGTATGTGTCCTAGATGTCTCACCATCCATCAACAGATTTAGTAAACTATGTCTACACTATAGTATATAGTCATCTACTTCGTATTAGAGTTTGGTAGTCGTTGGTCAAGGTCAAAGATAACATATGACCATTTTGGAAATAGTCGGGGATCTTTTATGAACCCTCCGATTAGTATGGAAGGATTCATGCGACTCTGACGTCTCTTTAAATTCTGTGTGACTAGGTTGATGAAATTTGTGAACCGGGACGTATGATATGTGTGAACCGTGACTTATGTAATGTGGGTGTGAGCGGGTTGATGTAATGTGTGAACCGTGACTTATGTAATGTGGGTGTGACCGGTTTGATGTAATGTGTGAACCGTGACTTATGTAATGTGGGTGTAAGCGGATTTATGTAATGTGTGAACCGTGACTTATGTAATGTGGGTGTGACCGGGTTGATGTAATGTGTGAACCGTGACTTATGTAATGTGGGTGTGAGCGGGTTGATGTAATGTGTGAACCGTGACTTATGTAATGTGGGTGTGAGCAGGTTGATGCAATGTATGAACCGTGACTTATGTAATGTGGGTGTAAGCGGGTTGATGTAATGTATGAACCGTGACTTATGTAATGTGGGTGAGAGCGGATTGATGTAATGTGTGAACCGTGACTTATGTAATGTGGGTGTGACCGGGTTTATCTAATGAGTGTTTCCAGGGCAGCTGTAATATGTGCGCAGATACTTCTGCTGTGCGGTTTAGTTTAGTTTAAGTTTGTTTAACGTCCTATTAACAGCTTATGTCATTTAAGGAAGTGCCTCCATGTGTGTAGTGTATGCTTGCTTGCGTGTGTGTATGCAGGAGATATGTTGGTGTGCTTACCTCCTTGTGATAACGCGGATCTGATGCCGACTTTATAGTGCTATCTCCCTGAAATACCATGCCGAGACACCCAGCACAGCATTCCGCCCGGTCATATGCTGCCATTCCTCTAAATGCTGAACGTTAAGCAGGAAATAGCAACTACCATTTTTATGGAATTTGGTATGTCCCGGCCTGGGGACAGAACCAAATGCCTTCCTCACCTGGGCGAACGCTCAACAGTAAAGCCAAAAGTGAGGTGTTGCCAAGCAAGGCGCTAGGAAATAAAAGGTGGTTAGAAGTAGAAAGAAAGATAAAGATCCCAAATATTGCTATGGGTGCCGCAGATTTATTATGGTCGCTTTTGTGTCCCCAAATAGAGGACACCAAAGCAAATCCCCAATTCTGCAGGGGGTTCCCGCATTAGCCGCCTCCTACGATACATGCAGTGGGTAACAACAGGTGTATTCTGTTCCAGATCCCCCACATGCAGGGGTGCTGTGTGTGTGTACCTGCTGTTAAGCGTTTGATAAATATATGCAATTTAAGGAAGTAATTATCTTTTTACACAGGAACTGAGTATGAACTTATACAATGACGTGACAGGAGGGTCAAAGTGTTAATGGTTTACTGGACGATGGTCATTTACAACACAAAGTTGTCATTTTGAATGGTCAGTCGGACGGATATAGGCAAGGATATCAACCATGAGCAAAAAGAAGGTAAGTAGGTACAATAGTAATATATGACATGTGGTACCGTATGTCAAAATACGTCAACACTTAACTGACAAGTGGTATGTCACAATACGTCAACACTGAACTGACAAGTGGTATGTCACAATACGTCAACACTGAACTGACAAGTGGTATGTCCACAATACGTCAACACTGTACTGACATGTGGTATGTCACAATACGTCAACATTGTACTGACAAGTGGTATGTCACAATACGTCAACACTGAACTGACAAGTGGTATGTCCGCAATACGTCAACACTGAACTGACAAGTGGTATGTCACAATACGTCAACACTGTACTGACATGTGGTATGTCCACAATACGTCATTACTAAACTGACAAGTGGTATGTCACAATACGTCAACACTGAACTGACATGTGGTATGTCACAATACGTCATTACTAAACTGACAAGTGGTATGTCACAATACGTCAACACTGTACTGACATGTGGTATGTC